CTTCCTCCCTCCCTTCCTCCTTCTTTCCTTCCTCTCTTCCTCTCTTCCTCTCTTTATTTCATTTTTTGATTCTGCATACTAGTGACAACATGTGATCTTGTCTTTTAGAGTTGGGCTTATCTTGCTTAACGTGACAGTCTTCATTCCACCATTGCCTGCAACTGCCATGACTTCTGTGTTCCTTCTGGCTAGTCCTCCACTCCATCCTTACGCACCACCTTTTCTCCATGCGTTCATCTGCAGATGGGCACCTAGCTGACACCCGTGACTTTTGGAGAAGTCTCCAGGCTGTCCCCAGAGACCGGGCTGCTGAGTTCCCAGCACTGCAGCAGAGCTCTGTTGCTGCTCCGCTGTCTGCACCTGGCGTGGTTCATCTTTTCAGCTCGAACTGTCCTGGTGGGCACGAAGTTGGTTCTGGCTGTGCTTCCTTAGATCCTGGGTCCATCTGGCCTTCCCTCATCACAGGCACTCAGACTTACTGTGAGGCTGTGGCATTTGACAGAGGCCTTCCCAGGACTAAGAACTGTAGGGGTAGCACAGGCTCAACCCGCAGCATATCGTTCATGCATGGACCATGCAATGCCCCAGATACCCCCTTACCTGACCCCCATATGCCAGTCCCTCAATTCCCCAGCCAGGAATCAGCCCCAGGCAAGTAGGGACCATGCCGGGGGCCAGAGCCACAGCCACTATTCCACGGAGCCCATGCCAAGCTGCCAAGTGCGCTGCCTGTCCTGAGGGGTCCCGTGCAGGCTTGGTCACCTGTGGGCTGCTCGCCATCCCACTGCCCTCCAGGGAAGCACAAGCAGAACCACTCCTTCTAGGGCACCGGCCTCTCCGCAGCGCTCATTCACCTGGACACTCAACCCCACAGGCACAGCTGGCGCTCGGGCTTCTCTGGGGTGGATTTTCCAAGTGACACACGACGGTGATCTTCTCACAGCTCCTTGGCCACCCATCCGCGTTCTCTGCCAGCTTTTGCCCATTTCTAACATCGTGGCACTTTCCTTCTAGTTTCCCTTAGAAGAGTTTTGGCGGATTATGGCCACAGACCGTTCTCAGATACGTGTCTGCAAAGACTTTCTCCTGCTCTGTGGTTAGTATTCTCAACCTTCTTGAAGTTTTATCCGTGGAGTTTTTCAGCAACCAAAACTTCAATTTTGATAAGTTCTGGTTTACAAAACCTTTCCTTTTGGCCATGTGTGAATGTGTATATTCTGTTTAGGAAGTATCTGCCTTATCCAAGGTCACACAGACTTTCTCCAATATAACTTACAGAATTCTTAGTGTTTAATGCTTACATTTAGGTCCACTATGATTGTCACTTTGGAATATTTTGTTTAAGGTGTGTGATAAGTTTTAGAGTTTATGCTTTTCCATATAATATCATTTTATGAAATTATTTTGGAAACTCCAAGTCCTTTG